GTAGGGAAATACGACCCATATTAAGCGTATTTTGTTTAGTATGCCCAGGACCTGTAATTTCAGAAGTCTTCTCTACATGTTTTTTCAACTTAAAGAGAAAAATAAAATAATTTTTGCTTTTTATCATAAGGAAGATAGTGCTAGGGGAGGTCATCAGTTCTTCTGCCTTGGAGTGAACAGCGGTAGTTGGTAAGCAAAGCAGGTTTTTCTGTATTAATTCAGCCATTGCAATCATATGAATGCATTGAAGGAGAAACTGCAATTAAATTTGCTATCAGTCACATCCATCAAGTGTGCTTAATGTTTCATCAAACTTTTTTTCTGTCAGCCCTATAATTCAGTGTTCTTCTTTGTTTGAAGGTGTGGCTGAAAGAAACATAAAAGACTGTAAACTGCAGTATAGAAATGCTTATTTGTATTTAAAAATATTTTTAAACTGTAAAGGTATGTTGGAAGTTTATCCCTCTTCCCCCTTGCCAAATTACTTTTTCAGGCAGTATCTAAAGGCAAAGTCCTTTTTTTTAAATTCTTTTTTTTTAAGTGTCGGATAAGATTTATGTGCAAGAGAATTGAGAGCTATATTAAAGGCTGTGTTACTATCCATCATTTTTAAAGTGGTGTGAAGAAAAATAACACTGGGTGTATGTGTGTCTAGATTTGTAAAATTGTTAAAGGAGCCAAATTCAAATGTAGTGCATGATGCCAGGGATGACTATTTGGAGTTACTTCCCCCCTCCGCCCCCTTCTTCTTCTTGGGTCATCGGTCAGTAGTGAGCAAAGATCTGTTGCTGTCTGACAGGTATTCACTAGCTTATGTTAATAAATATTTATAGGTATTTTCGCCAGTAGTTTCAGATGCTCGTCTGTAGCTAAAAGTAAGGCTCTCTTCCACCTTCTATCCCAAAAACATTCTTACAAATTTTAACAAAGTCTAAGTGGAAAAGGGTGAGGCCTGTGATTCCATCCCGTTGAATCTTTCACTCTCTGGTCTGTTCTGATTTATGGTGCTTTTTTCGCCCCTATGTAATAAAGGTAGGCACTTCCCACTCGGCACTCTCACATCAATCTTTCTCACCTTTCATCCTACCTTCTGGTGGGATCATTGTCAATAGTCACACTTCCTTTTGGTCAGAGGAAAATGGAATGTGGGGACATTTATTAATGTGTATGGGGGTTTGGACTGCACTCAAATCGTACGTGCATGCTTCCCTGTGACAGATGGACATAAAACAAATAGGCTGTAGTGCTGCAGAAGCTCAAGAATGCCTGCTGGAAACTGAACGTCACCAGAGGTGGACAGAGCTCCAGAAAGATTGTCTGATATTGGGCAGTCAATTAGAGACTTGAATGAAGCACTGTCTGTTATTTAGTATTACAAATAGTTGCATTGAGGAGAGGGTGGGAAAAACAGTTTCCACTGTTGCAGGTTGTTGCAGAGGCAAGACAAGATGAGGCAGCAGAAAGGTAAAGACCTCTGTGTCTTTCCCTCCTGTTACCCACGGCTCAGAAATCTCTCTTCATCAGTACTTTGGAGTCAGTTTTGAATAGTGTGAGTGAAGGAAGTAAAGTCTCTGGCAGTTACAGAAGCCTTTTTAAGGCTTCACCTAGAATCAAAAGAAATTGTCAAAGAAATTGAGAGAAATTGAGTCTAGAGAAGCTGAATTTGCCTAATTTTCAGAGTTGTTCTCTGTTGCACAGGTAAATGATACGAGCTTTATTGTCTGCTGAAGTAACTTGTCTTAAATTTTTAAGTGAATTCTGTGTTTGTTCTATGAATATTGAAAAGAAGTCAGGTGGAAAAATGAATTGCCTTTCTCCTTGCATAGATTTCTCCCCTTTCTTCAAAAAATACATGCTTACAGGTTCACGAAGCCAGTCCTCCATTGTTAGTTTTATCATACTTCAACCATATGGTATGTTGTCTTATGTATGCCAAAGAAGTGGTACCAAGTCCAGGTGTCATTCAACGTATCCTCTTGGCTGGCTCTCTTTAAGACCAGTAGAGCACTTTTGAAAATCAAATATTTCTCCTTCTATCCACATTTAACCGAGAGCTTTAATGAGGTCTTGCCAAAACCTTTAAAACTGGGAAGAATTTAAATTATAGTTGTATGCAACCTCTAAGCCAGGGAAATGAATAATTGCTAGAGACTACTTCTGTGACATAGCTTGGTTGTTCTAGTTTAACAGAAGTATAATAGAAGCTTTGCACTAAGAAGCAAGTCTATGCTTAGCTCATTGTAATGCTCTTAGCATGCTTAAATGAGTCTGTTTTATTTTGGTGTCTAAAATTCTTTGTTTAAAATTTCTTCCAAAATCACTGTCTCGAGTATAAAGGCTTTTGTCACGTTAAGTCATTTGTATGATTGACAAATAAAATTCAGCATAGAATTGCAATCCCAGAGAAATGGTTTTGAAGGAAATAAATCTGAGCAGGAAGATTTAGTATAGGCATCGTAATGCCTTTCCTGCAGTTACTGGGAGCCGGGTTTTGACTACAGACTGCTAGAATCCTGGTGTTGTGGCTGTAAACACTGATTAGTGAGACAGAGTTCTTCCCCGGTGTTGAAATTACATGTGCTATTGCAGTGTTAGGAGTTGTTCAAATCCATCATAAAAAAGGACTTTATAAATATAAGTGTTTCAGAGAGGTTTGTGCAAATCATGTTCCTTTTAACTAACTCAGTCTGGTGGTTGGATGGCCTTTATTGAAAGTCAGCTTTCTTTTTAAAAAAAAAAAACTACATCTGAGCAGTAGCCATAGATACTTCACTTTAAATACAATTTCCTGCATGTTTTCTTTCTTCTAAACAACCTCAGAACCATTGACTAAATGTGTTCTGAAGCTCCTTGATTCATTCAATATATGAATTACTATTATACATTTGTTTGATGTGTAGAAAAAAAAAAATCATTCTACCAAAGCATACGTGAGGAACCTTTTGCATTGCTTGAATGGTTGCTGTCTTCAAAATAAAATTAGAGATAGCTTAATTCTGGCCCTACAATTGGCTATTTATGGGTTTTTTGCTATTACACTTTTTTCCCAAATTATATATTTTCAGTCTTCAGTTATATCAGTAGTTTAAAAAATGTTTTATTTTCTTCCAAAACTGTAGGAAACTTACATTACTTTCTTCTGAACCTTTGGTCTCAGAGCACCAGAAGTGCAGAAGCTGTAGCAGTGAATCAGGCTTGTTGTTCATCAAGTAGGATATATCAGTTTCTTGAGTTACTTTTCCTGTTTAAAATTTTGAAGCTATTGCTATTTTAGACCAATTGGAGTTTGGAGACAGCTTCTTCATATAGCAGCGTACAAAAGTTCCAATTGATTATAGTTTAATAGGTTAATCCTGCAAATGGTCAGGTGCATGCATACCTATATTCATGTTAATAGTTCTCTTAAATATAAAACAGGATGTGTGGAAATAGCAGTTGTTAGTAAACAAGGGGAAAGATCACAGGAATGGCTATCAGGCGCTTTGTTGGTTTGATAGCATATGAGTTTTAGAGATAAAACTCACAAAAACATCCTATGAGATGTCAACTGGTATTGAGAATGACTGGGTAAGAGATCAGGACTGAAAAAGAGAGAGATCAAAATAGAGAAATGGGGGAGTTGAAAGAGAAGCACAGCAAGTAGGGAAACTAAGACGAAACCCAAAATACCAAGAGAGAACTAGGAACAGTCAGTTGATGTGTTGGCCTCAAACCCAGGGAGTACGTGTAAGGGTAGCTTAGAAATATTGACTCATGGGGCTTTACCAAGTCATGCTTAGAAGATCTGAAATTTCTTTTTCTGTATCTTTTTATACCCTTCAGATTTATGGCAATGGATGACACACCTAGCTGTCCATAGGCAATGTCTTGAAAGGCTGCGCATTAGCCACTGTGATTATAACTCTTCTAGAAGAGATGTCATTGGTAGGCTTCTCCTGTGCTGGGTCAATGTTTGTGTATTTGTGAGATATTGTTAGGGGAAAAAATACAATACATTTATTTGCAGTATTTTGCTCATTTTGAGATATCGTAAGTAGGAAAGGAGGGTCATTTTTTGATTAGTGATCAAGCTGATGGAATTTAATTATAAAATTATAGACCAGACTGCTCGCCCTGCTAACTTAGTAGGTTAATGTAAATGGTAACTTTTGACCTGGATTATCTGGATTATCTCCAGCTTCTACCTCTATTTTTCTAGAAGTCTACGTACTAGCTAACAACACAAGTCAGGTCATGTTTGAAGTTTTGTGCTACTAGATATCCATGGTACAGCTCTGTATAGGGACAGTGACTCTGGCTGGCATCCTCTTTACTGGCTAGGAATCTGCTCTAAACGCTATTAGGGAATATAATTATATCATAATTATTTCTCAGCTGTGCCTTTTGTCTAATTATATACAAGTTTAAAACTATTATTTTGGCAACTTTGTATGAATACTGTCAAAGTACTCTGCGTTTTGCTCTTCCCAGCAGCCAAGATATCAGAACCAGCATAGATGTTTTCACTTTGTTTTGTCTGGGGTTTGTGTGCTGTTCTGGGAGCGTGTATGCACACATGCTGTATGTATTTCCTACTATTAAAGATAAAGGAACCCTGGTGACTTTTGTTGTTATCTCTCTAATGAAGCATGAAGTCTGGGTACCAACAACAATAAAAGTAAATATTGTTGGCAGATAAGGAGTAAGTCTAGGGTTTCTTTTCAATCACCACTTAATACTTCTCTCCATAGACACTAACTTTTGACTGCTGTTTGCTCCTTTTCTAGGCAAATCTTGCTCAACTACTGAGTGAGGCTCAGGATCGAAATAAACATCTTGGAGAAGAGATTAGAGAGCTTCAACAGAGACTGGGAGAAGTACAAGGGGACAATAAGGTATTGTCAACTTTTGTTATTAGTAAATGGCATGGAATGTGTGAACTGGGCTGGAGTTTTGCATTTACTTCTTAGGAAAACAAATAAACAATGGGTTGCAGAACTTCTCGAATACTTGGATTACTATAAATGCTTAAAACAGTAGAATGAAAGAAGCTTGTATAGGATACCAGTAAGTGCAGCTTATTATATTTTTTTTATGCTGCTTTTGCTCTGTTGTCATTAACTATGTATTTTGCACCTAGCCTTGCTGTAATGATCTCAGATCTTCTTCCTCCCTTCCTCCCTTCCTCCCTTCCATTTCTTCTTCATCATGTGATAATTTTCAATTTTTTTGCAATGAAAATGCACAATTTTAGTAGATGATAAAACCGGGAGAGGCATAATTTTTCCCTTCAAAAATACGGAGTGGGTGATCACAAATATATATAGCAAGCTTTGTATTAAACCCTTATCCTATTACCCTTACAGAACTACTTCATTTTATTGCTAAATTTAGCAAGTTATATGGAACATTGCTCAAAATCTGCCATTTGGTATTAATCAAACTCCTGTTGTCTCTGTTAATTGAAATATTTAAACTCAAGCCAAATGTGTGTAACATTCACAGCTGGAGCTGTATGCAAAAGTACATTCAGAGATCAAGCTAGTGAGAGGTTGAATTTGAGAGTCGAGGTGGTTAACGAAGTAAAAAATGAAACAAATAATGAATGATAACTTCCCTACCTCAACTACAGTTTTAAAGTTACATGATTTAAAAATGTGTGCAAAAATGATGCGGCTTTTGATCATTCAGGTGTCTTTTTTCTTTCCATTTAAGTTCATTTTATTTTATTTTAAACATAAGTATATTGTGATAACGCAGTTCTAGTCATTGTTTATCACAAAGGACTTCCTTGAAGGTTTGCAGGGAGCTGGGAAGGGGTCAAGTGAGACCTGAATTTGTAGTATGCATAGCATTCAGTATGACTTGCTCAAGTCTTCAAAGACCAGCTTTCCCAGTGTTTCTTGTCATTTGCATGTTATTGTTTGAACTATACTACAGTGTGGAAGACAGTGCTCTGCAGTTCTCCAGTATCAATATTATGCCATACAACCTTTCCCAAGCCAGTTCTGAACAGATAACAAGGGTTTGTTAGTACAAACAGAGCACAAAGGTAGTACAAATACAACATACTCAAATATCAAGGTTATGTACCTATTCTAATTCCTTATAACAATATGATCTTGGTAATACAGAGCTGCCTACTTTGTGCTTGAACTGTCTTTGTTTAGATTTGCCTTTGCGGGTTAACTTGGTATTAGCTGGTCATCTTTGTGACATCTGTATTCTCGGCATGAATTTGAATTCATGACCCTCATAAGGAATAGAAAAACACAAAAAGAGTTATTCTGCCCAGTGTGCCCCTCTCCAAAAGGTGCAAAACAGTGCATCACTAAATAAAGAGGGGGAGGAAAGAACTGCATCAGACAGGGATTAATTTAGACTAGGATTTTTGGTTTTGGAACACATTCTTCACTTTCCTAGTAAATGAGAAATAGAGCTTATTATAGAGTCAGGTTGCTGTTTTTTGAAGTGCCTAAAAAAGCATTGCCATCTCTCTGAGGGATTTAACACTGTCCTCCTGTGTCAGATTGTGCTCCCTTCTAGCTTTGGTGATAAAATTCTAGGCTTGTTCCCGAAGCCATTCTGTTCTGCTCATCAGTTCTCCTGTACTGGCAGCTGGGTTACTTCAGGCACTGGAGTCCAGATAATGCATGGTATATACAAAAACAAAGAACTATAATAATTTGCTTGTTCTTACATTTTTCCCCTGCATTCTTCTCTCTGCTTTTCCAAAGTGAGGGAGGGCATCCTGCCCAGCTGGTCTACGTCAGCTTTACTTCTGGCAAGAGATGAACAAACAGCTGCTTTTGCAGCAAGTGAAGCTGCTTATGGATGAACAATTCTGCCTGTGTCTGAGCAGGGGTGACTCACACAGGCTTTGTCACTGAGTGGCAAGAGCTTTGTAGGACTAAAAAAGAAAAAACTCTTTAAATATCACACATTAGCTCTATTGATAAAGAATTGTTATGATAGCTTGACTTGTTTTTCACCGCTTTAATGTCTGCTACTAGCAGGACACAGTCACTTGGATTAGCAAGACCTTAAACTGGTGACATTTTACTTGTTGTCGAAATCATGTTAAGTACGTCATCAGTTAGGCAATAACAAATTACTTGCATTTGGTTTAACTGGACTAATTTTTTCCTTTAATTTCAGCTAGAATTCTGTTGGCACAAATAATAAAACATCTTCAGGCAGTCTCTGGAAGGATTTGTTGCTGCAGTTTCAGAAATACAGCAACAGTTAGACTGCAGCGCTCCAGCAATAGATATCTAAGACTATTTATTTTTATGATTGATCACAATCTCTTATCAGCTCTGACACATGAAAACTATTCTGTGTTTATGATATTTATTTGTAAGTCTTTTTCCTTCCTAAAGTTCTGGCAGCAATGCTTGGAGAACAATTATTAAAACTCAGAGGAGGATAGTTAGGAAATGCAATTCTCTCTTGTAAAAGGGTGAAAATGGAAAGCGTAAGAGAAGCTGGAGGCTTCTGGAAGACTAGATGACTCAGTTGCCTTCACTTGAATTCCTACCCACGCAAAGAAATGGTTTTGTAAGCTGTCGAGGACAGTGCTGAGTGAGAGGAAGATGCATGGAAAACAATTGCTGCGGTATTACTGACAGTTCATTATTATAAAGCAGACAATCATTCATGCAGCAACAATGTGAAATGTGAAATTTGGTGCATATGTTTTGGCAGAACTGGGACTTAAGGTAGCAAATTTGCATAGTTCTAGACCACTTTTTGAGATTTTTGTAGGCAACGTGATGAAGACAATTGCTGTCAGTGACTGCGGCTAAGCATGATGGTTTCTGCCTTCCATGAAGAATTTACTCGTTGTGCATGTTTCCCTTTTCCTTCTGCATGTTTTATCGATAACGTACAACTTTGGCGCAGGCATTGTCTGTGGACTCCTAGCCTGCACAGCATCTATTGCAGTGAAGCCTGTTTGGGGCATTGTGGGGCTGCTACAGAGTTGCTACTTGATAAATAATTATTTTAGCTGACACCGATTAAGAAAAAGCTGTGATATTAAAATAATAAAGGCTAGTGGCTTGCAGCACTGGATTGTTTTGGTTAACAATCTGTGAGTTCTTGACAGGAGCTATCTCTGTTAAGGTGCCATTAATTTAAATCTACTCTGCTGTGGATGCTGTTCACAGAATCCTGAGGGGTAGTGTTAACCTATTCTCTACCTGCAAAATGAAGTTGAGCAGTCCTTTACTCAGTGATTTCTGAATGACAGAAATAAAAATACAGCAGCCAGAGGGCAGGTGTATAAAGTTTATAACAAAGCACTAATATACGAAATAAACCCTTAACCCTCTGGCATAACACTTAGTGTCTCTTTGGGTCACAGCATTTTCAGGGAAGAATTTTATAGCAGGTGGTGCTGCCTCATGAGACATTTGCAATGCAGAATTAAAGGACTTGGCCTGTTCTGCCCTGTCAACTCTCTGATTGGCCAACTGTCTGGAAGAAGCACTCTGTCGTTTTATGGATTGGTATTTTACTTGATTTTATGTGTTTATAATGCTGCTTTTACTGACTGAAGTTGGATTTCTGAAGCATTCTTTTTGTAAGACTTCATACATTTTTTTTTTTGCCTCAAAATTACTAGTAAATAAAGAGTTCTTCTTTTACTGGCATACTCTCTGACCTTGCAAGTAATAATTGCTTGCCGTTATAATTACATCTTATGCCTCACCCCCTCCTGGCCTGGAGGAGAGTTGGTCATAGTGCATGAGTCACAGCTCTGATCCAGTTCCCAGCCTGGTGCTGAGTGTTAGGCAGAAATTTTGCTCTGCTGCAGGCATTGGAGGCATCGGTAAAGTGTGATTTCCCTTCCCATTTCCAGTTTTTCTGAATAAGATTGAGTCATCAAAATGTTATTACATTTTGTTTCTTACTGCCTTTCTCACTAGCAAGAGATTCTAGAAATTAAATTAATCTAACCGAATTAAATCACGTTACCATACCTTTTGTTCATCAGCCTTTTAGCATTTAAAAAAAAATAGTCCCATAGCTATGAAGCCAGTCCAGGATTTGCTAGTTGCCTTTTTGACTTACTTGTTTTGATAAAGAAATTAATAGGAATTATATCTCCTAGGATCCATTCAGCCTTACTAACTGTGCAGTGGTTTGTACTTTCCCTGTGGGGCTAGGGAAATGTGGTTTGCCAAAACCAGTTACTTCTGGGGGCGCAGCTTCCCCTGAACAAGTGAACTGCTTATCAGAACAAGTTGTACTAGCTTCAGTGACTTGCACTGAACTGGAGCTGAAATAAGTGGGGAGGATGATTTCGATAGTCTCTCTTGCATCAGCAGGATTTTAATTGGCACATTGCAGCTATGGTGACTGGCATCCCATAAATACCAAAGATAGATTTTAATGTACAATCTTCTACTTCAGAAGATTGATTTTTTTCCTAACTCTGCAATATAATGATGTACATTAATTCCTTGGTGCAGTCAAAGATACGGGGAAAGTCAGGCTGGTTATTGTGGTGGGTTTCTCTAGTCTCTGTGGAGCTCCTACAAATGAGGCCATGGGGAGGCAACACTTTTGTCTAGTTGTACTCATTATAAACAACTGTAAAAGCTGAATGCCTTATAGACTATTACTTTAATACTCCATGATTCTTGAAAGGTAGTTGCTTTTTGCTTTGGATATTGAATATAACTGTATTAATGCAAGTCAGACTGTTTTCAGCAGTCACAAAGCTCACAAGTTTATTAGCTGTTTGAGCATTTTGGCCAAGTCTTTTTGTTGTTGGCCTGGTTTTTTGTTTTTAACATGAATTAACTTTTGTGAGTAGGTGAAAAAAATAATGCACAAGCAAATGTATTAGCAGTTGTTAGTGCAAATTCTAGGATTTTAAGTGGTATCAGTAAAATGAAGCTGGGCAAGCTACCTCTTGCCTTTTTAGTCTTAACTGGGAGGAGTTCTCTGCTTCAGAGAGTTTTAAGATTTACATACAAAAATCACTTTCTGAGAGTTCTCTAGTTTTAGTCTGACTGGAATTAGTTCCTGTCACTCCTGAAAAACATTGACCGTGTGTCTGTGTTTACTTGGTCTTTCATTATTTGTACACTCTGGTGACTATTGTTGCAGAGTCTAATTCAGCTCCTGTTGATGCTTTGAGTGTTTGACTGGAATTTTTCACTGAGAACAGGATTGAGCCCTCAGCTCATAAAATTCCCTCTGGTTTAAATAATACCAGCTGTTTGGCCTGGAAGAGATGAAATCTGTGACAGCTTTGCTCTTTCTAATGCAGATGTACTCTGATGCTACAGCCCGTGTTCTCTTGCTTACCAAATCTGCTTTTGTAATCGCAGCTCCTTCGAATGACAATAGCAAAGCAAAGACTTGGAGATGATGAAGTTGGGGCTCGCCACTTTGCAGCACATGAACGGGAGGACCTTGTTCAACAGTTGGAGAAGGCTCGAGAACAAGTAATACCCAAATGGGCATATACCGTCACGTTTTACAGAGATAGTGCAATAGCAAGTAAATGACTGCATCTGTTGTGTTTGGAGGGCTGGTAGCGAATTAGCATGGCAAATAGTGGTGAAGGCGTTGGGATTTTTACTGTAATAGTTCTTACTGAGCACTAACTTAAACATGCATGCACAGTTAGAGTGAGTTTCCTAATCTCAGGAATTCCTTCTCTAGATTATCGATTCTCCTCTTTTTATAATGTGCAGCAACAACTTGTGACAATTGAATATTGTCAATGAGTGTCAATGAAAGGGACTCCTTAGTGAAAGCTGTTAGAAGTATTTAACACAATATGTGGTGGCTGATGCATCTCCTAAAGATATTCTCTGAATAAAATTTTCTGTAGAAATGTTGTTAGTCTCCTCTTCCTCTTGCATCCTAGCTATTTCTTCCCTGCTTTTGAAAAATTCTTGCATCAGGCCTCTTTTCCCTACCTCAAGCCTGTTTTAATACTATGTACCATGCAGCATCCAATTCATCTACTACCAATACGTAGCTTTCTGGACAATTTTGGGGGTTTGTGTTCTCTGTTGTTCCCACAGTAATTCCTAACAATGTCAATTCCACCCTGTGATCCAGTAAGAGGTGCATATTTCTTGTTTTTCAGTCTTCACTCAAGTGCAGCGCTACTTTAGCTTACCAGAGGACTGTTGACTGCACTTGGTCTTCTTCCAATGTGATTGTCTCTGTTATCTCTGTTCCCAAGCTCGCGTTCTCTCTGTTCATCACCTGGCCTCTTTTTGCATGGTCTTTCTTCTGTTGTCCTTCCTGGCTTATCAGTGTTTTCTGAGGTGCCAGTGGAGACTTCTTGATTCATTGCAGACTTTTCTCACACTCTCTGTTTCCTCTCCTTGGAAGTTTGAAGCTCTTTGTCCTTGAGTATGTTTCATACTGGGCTCCTTCACCCTTTTGCTTAATAGCAAAGCTCACCCTGTCAACTCCATGCTGGCTTATTTTGTACTTTTCTCAGTTCTTCTTCCTATTCTGTGAAACTTCATTGCTGAAAGTCCTGTAATAAGTGTAAATGCCCCTGTACAGACTTTTTCTTCACCCTCCAAATTTGCCAATTTCTTATTCAGTTGAGTACATTCCTGGAGTCCTAGAAATTATATGCTAAAACCAGCTTAGTATGTTTGTAACAGAATTATAGTATGGATTAAGGTTTCTTTTGCTGTTACATTTTAGTTGTTCTCTAGAAATTTTGTAAAACAAGTCTAACTGCTAAAGTTGCTTAACTTCAAATTAATGAAATAATACCAAACTAGAGTAAAAGGACCCGGGGTTATGAGCTTTGGAAAGACTTTTGACTGTCCAAAATAAATCCTGTTCAGACACGCAGTGCTTGTTGCTGTTTTCAGTTTGGGCGCTATGTAATCTTTTGTTTAAACTTCAAAATAGTCATACAGCTCTCCTTTCTTCTCAGATCGAGACTCTGAGATACGATCTTCAAGCTGCACTGGATGAGTTACAGGATGTGAAAGAGGAACGCTCTTTTTACCAAGATAAGTCTGACAGACTAAACCAAGAACTTAATCATGTCTTAGGAGGGCATGAAAATCGTATCATCGATGTAGATGCTCTGTGTATGGAGAATAGGTGAGTGCATTGCAAACCTTAGTGTTTCCCTAGAACAAGCAATGTATTGCTTTAACAGGAGCATTAGGAAGTCAGTCACAACAAAACTTTAAAGAAAATATATCCAAGAATAAAAGCTAAGAGATTTTGGTAATTTGTTTTGTCTGGTTTGTTTGTACTGTAGCTAACCATCAAATAACACTGAGATAGTTAGGCTGCAGGAAATTACCAATGTTTTAGTTGGCTATAGAGATGTCAGTGATATTCCCAAATAGAGCTAAACAGGGGAAAGGAAGAGAAGTGCAGACCTTTTTACTCCCATTCCTATATGGCACCAAAAGCAAGAACATTAAAAATCAGTGTCTTTAGAAACTCATAGTGAGCTGTAATGGGCTAATCTTGGATTGGAAACAGGGACTTTGAGTACCCTGAGTTAACAGTTTCGGACATAATTCTCACCACAGGGAGAGGTTGTCAACATGGAGTGATTTGCCAACAAAAGTTGCTGTTGAAATCACCCATGTAGATATTCTTGCCACTTCTTGGGAAGAGAATGTGTTTTATGGTCTCTGCTGACAGAGAGGAGTCACTGACAGAGCCATAGCGGGTACCTCCCTTAGTGTCAACAATTACCTTAAAGTGAAATAGATCTTGTAAGACACTTTCTGTTTACAGAGACTTACGTTTCAGGTAGGAAAGTGTAATACCAAAGGCATTACTTCCTCCCAGCAACTCCAGGGTTTTTTTCAGTTTTGTGTGGCCTATGCAGTTCTGTATCAATTCAAGCCCCCTGCTCCCCTGACAGTGATACGATTTTCTTCTCTAAAGTAGTTAAATTGTCACAAACCCTAATACAGCTGCAGTTGCACTACATGAAAGAGGATATTTTATAAACCCTTTATACATGAGAAAGATATTTTTCAATGTGGAAATAGTCATCTAATCCAAGTGCATAAACTCTATTAGGAAAGAACTGTACTGTTTCAGTTAACTGTATACCATTTTTCAACTATACTGTTAAATTTTCTACTTTGTGATTGCTAATGAGAAGTGCCATGTAAGTGATGGATATTGCAATGCAAAAGTTCTGCATAGTTGAGTCTTGTGTTGACATATATACAAATCTTCATGTGTCCATCTCACAAACCTTCAAGTACAGAGCACACGAGTAAATGCTTCCTGACTATTTCCTCTAGACATAAATATATCCTTTTTGCTTCCCTTCCCAAAAACCTGAGGACCGATGTAAAATGGTTGTGCAGCATGCTTGACAAATCTAACAGAAGGGCAGCCTCCTTTTCTGATGCAATTTGTTTTCCCTACTTAAAGTTTTATGGGGTCAAGAGCAGTAAGACTTTGTTATTTTAGCCCTCACAAAACTGCAGAGGGAAAAGAACTCTCAGTAGGTCAAAGAGAGGACATGCCAAATAGTAAAGAGGATGCTTGAGGCAGTATTGAAGGTAACATGAAGTAAAGGATTACATTTCTTTTTCAGGTATCTTCAAGAGAGATTAAAACAACTTCAAGAAGAAGTCAACCTCCTTAAGTCTAATATTAATAAATACAAGGTAAGATCCTCTCAGTGTATCACCTAAACTGTGCTTTGTTGTTCATGGAGGTTATTGTTCATTCTCATGTTCTCATGCATTTAAAGAACAAAATTGTGTCTTCAAAGAAAATTCCACCATTAACATTCTGACAGTATTAGTATGTATACATATTACACGTTCAGTCTTCCTTGTAGGCTTCTTAGCTGATGTACTACAAAGAGATACCCGTTAAGAGTATTTTGGAAAATGAATTAAATACCTTTTTTTAAGTTTGGGGGGGGGAACCCTCCTCCTGCTGGGGAGGGTGATCAGCTGTACAGCCTGCTGGTAGGTGAAAAGTAACAGGTTACACAGTGTATGGTGAATGACTGCACCCGCGTTGCCGTCACAAGCAGGTTTTGTCTCCCTGTTCCCTAACAGCTGCACTATTTCTTCATGTGTCTTAATGATTGCTAAGTCTTCATTGTTCTTCCATTCCTGGCTTAAGATATATGCTGTTTTGCATGAAACCTTCAGGACTGAATCCCGAGGGCAAAATATTCTTGCTCTTCCCTGAAGTCAAGCACTCTGTTTTCTTCTGCAAGCGATTTTGGGGTGTGGAAGGTGGGGGCTGCTTGTCAGGGCTTGAGAAGGGTTGTCTTAGCACTGTCAATAGGACTTCTTAACCATCTAGGTCACTATGAAGCAGTCACAGCACTAGTTGCTTTTTGTGCATGAGCAAAGCTCCACAAAGTACCGAGTTCGTTTCAGTGTCTGTTCACACTTACGACGTGGGTCTCTTGTAGTGTGAGTTAGTTTATTGGTGAGAACTGAGCATCTTGGCGGTCTGGTGGGTTTCACAGAACTGTAATTGTTTTGGAAGAGCTGGACTTCTGTAGCAGGATCATTCTCCTGCTAATTCCTGAAAGTCAGTATTTGCTACTAAAAGGGCTTGTAGAGACTCTGATAGAGGAGTTTGAGCTTTCCCTTTGAAGCCTATCCAAAGAAATGCTGGGGAAAGTCAGATTTTTTTCCCAACTGATACTCTCTACAGGACACTGCAGTATCTTCACTGGCACTCAGCAGATTATTAAAAAAAAGGCAAGTCTTAAAAATGCATTGGGAGTGGGAGACACTAAAGTAAAGTGATTGCAACGAGACAGAATGAGTCTTTGTAACATTGCAAAGACTGTTTTCACTGGAGAATAATACTCCAGGAGAGTCACACTCCCATAGGTTACAATGGGTGTAAGCTCCAGGCCCTGCAGAGTTGTTCTGAGACCAAAATCCAAAGTTCCAGATTCTTTACTCCTAATGAAAAGATTTCTTGGCTGCTGTTTTTCTAAATAAGATACTTGTTGTTTCCTTAGAATGCACTAGAGAGACGAAAAAATTCAAAGACTCATAGTAGATCCAGTAGCAGTGCTCTGACTGGAGTCCTGTCTGCAAAGCAAGGTATTACATAAATGCAGCATGGTGTTGCATAACTCATTGAATTCCTTCCATCTTACCTCTTAATTTCAGTAACCCTTTCCTCACCAACCAAACCAAAATCTTTCTTCTCTTTCCTGTTTATTACCATGTGCTAATTTTTCTCCTTTTCCCAGTTGACAGCATAAAATTTGCCTCTTGAGTACTGCTTCTCCTTTTGTTACTTTTTTGCCATGCTCTCCCCCATCAGTTTTATTTTTTTTTTTTAATCTCTAAACCCCTCTGCAACTTTGACCCTGACAAATCACTTCTTTATTCATCTCTTTGCTCTGCTAACAATGGCAATCACAATTCATATTCCAATGAAAAACAGAGTGGGTGGTAGAGGAGGGGCCCTAAGTCAGGTTTTCTGCTCATGTTCTTGGAAGCTTTTACATTCAGATGTTTTGCAAGAAATCCTTTTGTCCCATGTTTCTTCGTGGGATTGCAAAATGGAGTAATCTCTTTTTCCCCCCTTCAAAGAAAATATCAAGATTAGGAAAGAAAGGAGAAGAGAAAATTCTTTGAGCCAAGCAGTATACCTGGCACCCTACTGTTCAGGTGCTTGTATATGCATACACACACACAAGATCAGTAGTATTTGTCGTGGTAGGTCGAAACTTGCCTTTCTGTTTTTGACTTCTTTTCTGTCCTCTTCTCCATGTACTTGCATGTGTGTATATATATCCATATACATATACACACACACACAAATATATACATATATATATATGTATAAAGAGGCAGAGCCAGATTCTAGTTCCAGAAGCTAATGATACTAGTGAACTTCCTGATGTGGTTGAGAGGTACAGCTCTAAGCTGCAGACGAGGAGTTCATGGGTGACTGTATTTTCACATCAGTCTTAAATAACCTGAAGGATATAATAATTCTAAAAAGTAATATAAAAGCTTCCTTGTGGGCTTATGTTTTAGTGTAAATGGGAGAGAAATGACCCATTTTTACCAATCTGTAGGCCTGTAGAAGAATGAGTTTGTTTCCTTCTGAAAAAAATAATTTTCCAAAAGCAGAATTAAGTTAACATAAGATGTGTCTGCCTATACTTGTTCTGGCAATTGCTATAGAATAATGATCAGCTTAGAAAGCCACCATCTTTATACCAGCTAGAGATTATATTTCTGGTCTTTTGGCTTTGTTTGTTAATTGAAGGAAAAAAATACATATTCATTTAAGTAATGAGAGTTCTTTAATGCTAAGTAAATGTTTGTATCACATCTCTGTGCATGAGAAGCCAAAACTCATTTGTGTTTTTAACATTATAGTCCAAGAGTTGTTGTCGGAGGATCATGGATGTAGCCTACCAGCCACACCACAGTCCATTTCAGATCTCAAATCACTGGCCACTGCATTGCTGGAAACTATCCATGAAAAAAACATGGTCATACAACACCAAAGGCAAACCAACAAGTAGGTAACATGACTTCTAAGTAAAATAGAACTTGCCAAGCTATGGAAAAGTCATAGTTTTGGGGGAGTTTCAGGGAAAAGGGAAGGAAGGTCCATTTTCACAGAAAATTAATTGTCATTGTTAACTGGTATGTTCTTTAGTTTTTAAGATCAGGTACGTGTTTAGAGAAAAATTACATTTTCACAGTAAAGTCTGGGGTTGACAGAGACGTGTCCGCCTCTGCTAGGCAAGGATTGGTTTGCTGCTCACGTTTAAGACAAAGCAGAATGACACGGGGGACTTCTAGCAGGTAGTCTGTAGGGAGGGCTAAAGAAAAGCTGTGGGGAGGAAGGACACCCTTGAACTGGAGGAGAATATATGTGATAATTGGTTGTTAATGTAGGAATTTGCTAATGAACATTGGTGGGAATAGTAAATGGTGCACCTAGGAAAGGGTCTGAAAAGATACAGTGTAGCATTTGTCACAGGCTAGCAGCCTATTTGTCATACAGATGATAGCTGTTGCTCCTATAGTTACTGTGCCAAAAGTTGTAGGAGATAAACATAGTTGGATTGCTACTATACGATTTTTTTAAAATTCTGAACTGAACTTTCAAGGAGAGTTTGTTTACTCTTAGCTGTTCTACTCATCAGTAGAATTCTTTGTGTCTCGCACAGCTCCTATCATGGCAGAATATAATAATTTCTGACACATTTTCTGACATTCTGATATTATTGTCCTTATACAGTGTATGAAAATCAGAGCTAGGAAGTGTTCCTTGATTCTGTGCTCAGGTTTTTTTTCTTTTTTTTTTAACACTGAGTCACTACTGGTAATCAGAGGTTTATTCAGGCTTCTCAAAAGCACATCAGGACCAGATGCCAGAAACAGGCAGACATCTTTCATGAAAGGAAGTAGTAGTACTGAAGTAAACTGTATTGCACTAGAATAGATGATTCATTTTGAAAATTGATAACTCTGATACTAGGCAGACTCCATTGCATAATTCTTAGTGATGTGGCAACAGAAGTGGAAGAGCAGTTCAGAGCCACTCTTAATACTCTTGAGAGAGCAAATGCCTAATCAGCTAAAGGGAGACTAAAGAGGTGAAAATGTAGTCCAGATCTAACTGATGGCAGCTCAGTCAATTCGTGTCTGTAAGTGTGTCATGTAATGCAAGAGGAGTTCCGGCACTGAGCAGCACTAATGAAGGGCTAACACCTGTTTACTCCCTTCTTACTGCTAATGTAACGTCAGAAGGAAAACATCCAGAGAATAACTTCTGTTACTCCAAGTATAACCAATCTTTGCCTTTTACAACCTGATACTGTATCATTACCTGATGTTCTAGTTTGCATACTCTTGCCTATAACCATAGCAAACTTCTTTCTTAATTTTGTATCTCTCTTTGATCACATGCAGTCTCTTGCATCTCTCAAATGTATCATTGTGGTGTGACGGCTTTACTTTCTGATACCAGTCTCTGCTTTCAACTATTGAGTATGGGTTTTCTTGAGATAAGCCTTCACAAGGAGATCGATTCTTTTATCTGCATGCCCAACTGGTCTTACGTAGCGACAGGAGTAGAGATTGGATGTGTGCACAAACTAATGTTCTATGCCCAAGAGAAGATTAGATCTTAGAGGGAGGTGTCAGTCTACATCTCTCCCAGGTCAGAAGTCTGCTGAGAGCTGTAATGTTGTGTTCAGTTCAGGATGCTTCAGGGGAAAAAAAAGAAAGACAAATCCTGGGCAAGTTGAGTGAAGAGCCTCAGCAACACTCCTGTGTGGTATGCTCATTCTTTTTGTCACCTTTGGCTTTAGTTGGATTAAAGAAGCTTTTTAAGGAGCTAGGAGGAATGGGAACTACTTCAAGTAGAAACACCGAAGACATGAAAGGGTTAAAGTGTAAAAGGGAAATGCAGGTAGGACATCAGGGAAAAACATCCTTTATTTGAGGTGCATTAGCTGGTTGTTGGGGGCACTTGTTTGCCATGTAAAAAGTTACAAGTAAAGACTGCCGACTTCTGAAAATGGGGAACAAACTGCCCACCTGTCAGAGAAGGTTAGAGTGAGAGTGAGGTCAGTGCACAAGTAAAACGGGCAGGTCCACAAACTGGTACTGGTAAAATCATAGAACCATAGAATCGTTTAGGTTGGAAAAGACCTTTAAGATCATCCAGTCCAACCATTAACCCACACTACCAAGTCTACTCTAAGCCAATCAAGGGTAGACTAGATGCATTCTTTTGTTGAAAACACTTCTCCATTCAAAGTAGGAAGTTGAGAAGGATGTGGGGCTAGAGAGACTTGTAATGACAAAAGGTTTTACATAAAGCAGAAGGTAGAAGTCTTCTCTCTCACCCCTCTGTCCTGTTTGCCTGGCTTTCCCTGAGCAAAGAGCATGTTTGGAGGACACAGTTACTCTTTCAGATTGTTGTGTGAAGAAGGTGAGATTCTGTTGGGTAAAGAACCTGAGATTTTGGGGTGGTTGTTTCATTCAGGGAAGAAGTTCTGCTTTTGATATTTGATAGATGATTGACTTATTAGTGATTCTGCTATCTATAAATTAGACTTTTCAGACCGGATGAACTTACTTTCCTCCAAACAGTTAACTTACTCTAAAGTCAAAACCTCTTTTGTTGCTTGCAGATTGATATATAGCTATATAAGTTTACAATAGCAGAATGGTAGATTTGCTTTCTGATTAACTGAAGCAAAAACGAGACAGTGGATTTTTTTACGTAGATCAGAATTTGGATGTGCTGTTGAAGTTGACTTTCTGCAGTTATACTGTTGTTAAAAACATCCGTTGCCACTTCGTCTTGGAACAGACACACTGTTATTATTGCCGCTTTTCAAAATATGTGGCATGATAAAATGAGCTGTGGGAGTGTGCGCCTAGGAACAAATGGACTAAATCCAGCCTTTAATTTTTTTAGTCCCACTTTTAAGAAAAAAAGAAGTTGTTTGGGAAGAAAACAGGTCACTTTCCCCAGGTGATTGGTAGCTACTACTGCTAAGTTTAAGTAACGTCTTGTGTTTTTCCTCACAAGCACATTAGCTTAATTTGAAAAGCTAGTTGTAAATGAATTCTGTATGCAGTAATGTGTTGCAAGATTAAATAGTTACATAAACACAAAAATAAACAGTCCTAACCCTGCCTAGCAAGTGGATAAAAATCTTTTCTACGAGCAATAAACTGTTTATTAGATGTTCTTTTTAGTGCAATTTGTTCCTGAAATTGCCAGCACCCGTGCAAGCCAGATCAGTGTAGAAGCTGCTCTGCTGCGTAGATGTGTTGCACTAATCTTAACATTTCTAACTTGGGCAAGCTCGGTCATGACCAAAATTACAAAAAGGATTGTGTCAGTCTGTAACTGAGTAAATGTTTCCATGTGATGTATAGAACTAGATATGTGACCGTGACAGACCCTATTAACTGACGTTTGGGTGATTGTATCTGTATGAGGGTATATGCCTTCTGTAGCAAGATCTAAATTGAAAGTGAGGTGAATGGAGCTCAGGTGCTGTAAATCAGCACAGCTCCCTTCAGATTATGGCCATGTATGTTGGGAAGCATGGGAGAGCTGGAAGGGAGCTTCTAAATTAAGGTGGGAGCATTGCTGCTGTGAACAGAGTTCTGTAAAACCTTATCCTGGAGGGAGGTTTAGACTAATTCTGTTGTTGCATTAGACACATGACCAGAGGACAACAGGAAGAGCTATCGGCACCTTTGTCCATGACATGATCTTTCTCTTTTAGTCGAAGGATGTGGTCCACTATGGCTAGAGATAGGAATATAGATTAGGGAATTCGATGCTACCAACCCATGCAGCCCCTTTAAAAATACCTGCTGTTCCAGGCTACCACAGCTCAGTCTTCTCACAGCACATATAGAGGGGGCAAATTACCTGGAGGTCATAGGGGAAAGGAAGGAACGGGATAAACCATGCTGCGTTCAGGATTGCTTACACATTTATTTTTCAAAAAATGTTTTTATAAGAACTCGCAGCTTTTTGTAGGGTTCATTTCTCCCATACCTGTCTTCAGATAATGTGGTTTTGAGCAAACTAGAATCGTACTCGTCACTGAATGTATTTTGCTCTCTTCCTGAATGAAAGGAGCAGGGTTAAGTATTGTCCTCTCTTTTTGCCAACCATTGTTCAGAGCTGCAGAATGATCCTATGTGGGAAACTGCAACAAACATTAAAAAATACCTCAGTGCCTCTTCTGAGGATCCAGTAGGAATTATCAGGATATATTTGCTCGAAAACCTTTAGACATTATGTGGTACAGCTGATAAATGAATTATAAAATTTAAGAGAAGCAAGAGAAAAGTGACTTTGCTATTGTCTGAATAAAAAGAGCAGTAGCAATAACTGAACTTGATGCAGAGGGTTGAGTTTTCCTTCTGTGATACCGCTAGCTGACAGGGAGGGCATTTCCCCCCTCTTCTGCCCTGGGACTACTAGTGAACTACTTATGAAAATAATAAGGATTATTTTCTTTTCCTGGCAGAAGTGCGCTAAACTTGTGACCCATTTGTGGTGACAATCGTTAGCGACATCAACTTTGTTTTGTCGGCTCAGGGGGCTGAGCTAACATGACGTGGAAGAAGTCTTGCATCATCTCTGTCTGTTCCCTGCCCCTCTAAGCAAGAGGAACTCCACATCCTTTGGCTGACTTTTGGTGGGGCCTTGGACAGGGAGATGGGAGTGGGCTCCCTGTGCACAAGGTAGAGCTGCTTGTAAGTTGCTCTGTGCCTTTCTCCGTCACCTGTTGCTTTGTACCGCAGAGCGCAGTTGCTGGATGTTGGGCCGTACACTGGGACATGAAAACAGAGTTATTAAGGCTGAGTCTCTCATACCACACGGAAGCATTCTGAAAGCAAGATCTAGACTTGAACAATTTTGATTGTAATTGGAGAAGACAGTAATAGATCCATCATAACCTTGGTAACCTATTTGATTACTCAGTTTCAATGGGGAAATAAACATAACTGCTCCCAAATGTCTTCTCTCCTCTCCTTGTAAACATGATGGACTGTTTGTTTTTTAGTTGATATACATCCCTGTACCTCTCAGTGCTTTCTTTGGTATTTATTATAGGCTTTCTCTTTCTCTTTTACATTCTCTCTCTCATCTTGATATTTTTGTAATCGTTAAAATACTTACAGGCTTTTATTATGTCGTTGCAGAGCTCTCACAGTAGAGATTCCAAAAATACCTAGTCCTTGTTAATCAATTTTTCTAGCCCCTTTGATATTTGCTGGGTTTGCTATTCTTCATGTCCTTCCCAGATTCTGCCATCTTGTCAGTAATGACATTCCCAGTATGCTCAAATGTCTGCAGCATAAAACCCTCTGTGGAGAGCATGCAGTGCAGTATTACACAGTTCTGGTGAGCATGGGAAGATACTGTTGCCTTAGCGTGTTGTGATACGCTGCTTCTCAGCATTCAGTTCAAATTTAACTGACTTATCCTCTTGCTGTAATTTGATGAGTAAAACTTGCTGTCCATTATCTGTGCTGTCATGTTTAGAATTGCTGCCTTGTCTAGGTTTCTCACTCTATTGATTATTGTTTGGGATTTATTTAAAGCCTTCTAACTCCAGGAGACTTGCTGTGCCTGTGAGAGAAACACTTTCAAAAATTCATTGGAAAAAAGAGCTCTCTGCAAGATAGAAATCTCTCATTTGATCTTGGGAGAGAATTAAGACTGAAAGTTAAATCCTGCAGGAGAGCTAACTGCAAATAGTATTTGTGTAGGAATCAGATACAAAAGAAGAGGTGACCCAAGAAATGCAGTGAAAACTAAGAGTGGGTGATAAAGGCACTAAAGAGCTTGAAGCTTTTTAGTAAAGTAGAAAACAGAGTTCAGCACTAAAAGAAAAGATGTAGTGGAAAAGATACTCCTTGCCATTTTGAGTAATCTCAGTGATAGAGAAACCTCTGTGAATAAAGGACTAGGCCAAAATTGTGTCTTAGAACTTCAAAATCAATCTAGATGTTGTCTTGAGTTTTCCATATTTTGTCTGCATAGGTTTTACCTTCTGGTTTTAGCTGTAGAGAAAGAAAAGTAACCGGGAAGAGATATTTGCAGGCAAGGAAATAGAAATATTGTGAGTTGCTATTCTTTGTCTTTACTGAAGGGCAAAGGTTGAATGTCCAGTACATCCTAGTTGGTTTTTTTTGTTTCTGGGTTGTTGGGTTTTTTTTTTTTAAAAACCATGGGCTAGATTAGACAACTATATTTCATTTTCTTCTAACTCTGGGGGAGCTTGTTGGTTGCCATTAGTGAAGAGAGATGACTGTATACAGGTTTACTGTGCTAGTTAAGCAGCAAGTTACAAGTTCAACTGTAGTCATGTAAGCAATCAGGCTTTGGTTACCTTAGTATAACAAGGAATCTCATCTCAGCTGACTGTCCCTGGCTTTTGTTTTTGTTTTCTTTTTCCGAAGAATTCTAGGTAATCGAGTGGCAGAACTAGAAAAGAAATTAAGAACTTTGGAAATTGCTGGCTTGTGGAGTCTTCCAGGTTAGTAAAAATTCAGGAGAACAGCTTGCATTATTTAGTTTTCGAGGGTATATTTGCATTTAAGAAAAGGTTGGCTATAATTTTTTTTTTAATGACAGTTATTTTGCGAATGTGCTGTTCAGCACATTTGCAAAATTAGAAACCTCTAGTAAATGTTAAGTTCAAACCAAAAATCACTACTCTTTAAACTCTAAGTCAAATACATATACCGACAAAAAAAAGGTCTTAAATACAGGAAATAATAAAATTGTCTCCATAGTCTGCAGTCAAAAAAAAATTGTACTATTTTTTTTAAACAGTTGTATAAAATGATACACAGGATATTGGCCATTATGTTTTTCAACAGCTTTTATTTATTAATTTTGTACTTCTTGTAACTTCCATGGATTTTATTGCTGTATTTTTAATGTTTTTCTGTAGAACCATAAACTTGGAGAAATTGGAAATGTAAATGATCTTAAATTTTCTAGTCCATCTCTCCAGAACAGGCTTATTCCCTGTAGCATCCTAAGTATTGTATTTGGTTTTGAATTACTCAAGTAATGTGAGATTAATCTGCTTCCTAATACACCTCGCTGTTAGGAAAATGTGCAATATTTAATTTACTTTTTGCTTCTTTTCTTCCCATTACACCTAATTGTGTCTTCTTTAACCACTGTAAATTATGCTACTCCATTGTTGGTGTTTGCATCATTAGGCTTTGTTGTTTACAGCTTCCTATCAGTGCTATGAGGGGGTGGGAGGTACTGTGGGTTTAGGCTTCTATTTTTTTGGCTCTGTTTTTTTTCCACCTAACCTTCCATCTAGAAGAAAACATTTGACAAAGCTGAAGAGACCTTTTGAGAAACCTATGCTGTTGAACCGTTTGGCCTGATGTGGTGTATTTCCACTTTAGCTTGCCCGTTGTAGGCATTCTCAATCACCTTTCTGGAACTGGCTCTCTTATTGATGCTTTCCAGAACTGAAGGTCCTAAATTTGTTTTCATGGATTACTCTTCAGTTAGTCACCTAACATACATAGTATACTTAATGCATTTGTCCCTCCCCACATTTTCCAAAAGATGCAGGTGAAATATTCATCTAAGACCCTCCTAATGTGGTTTTTTTTTACATTAGTACAAATGTGTATCGTAAACTCACCAGTTTAAGGTACTGTAGGTTTTTTTCAAGAAGTGTTCTGTGGAATTCATACACTAACAAATGCAGCGTTTCTAATCTTCACAAAATGTATTTTAAAACATAGAAGAGTGGGAACTTCTTGCACCATTGTTGGTCTATGTAGGTAAGACATCAAATTAATGTTTATGCAATAACAACTGTCTCTTTCCTTCCTTTCTCTTGCTGCCTGAAGGCCTGAGCTACAATGTCTCAGTGGGATTTGGGAGTAGGTTCTGCTTGACGAATATTTTTAGTAACTGATTTTAGCAGTAATATTGTCACTGCATGTAAATAAATGGAAATGTTATCTGAACATTTTTATATCCAGCAGATTAAGATGTTCAGTCAAGTGAGTTAGATGACCACAAGAGAAACAGAGACTGCTCTACAACACAATTCCTTTAAACTGAGGAAAATAGAAAGAAAGGATGATCTTAAATTGTTGTAAAGGAATTTTACACTGGGTTGCAAGTTCTGTTGAGTCCCAAGGTTTGTTGATTTGCTGCTTGCCTTTTAAATCAAGAGTGCCCTTTTTTTTCCAAAGTGCGCTCTAGTCCCAAGGTGATCAGAAAGAGCCTTGCAACACCTGGTGGGTCACCAATTTTCTTTTCAGAGCGTGGAAAGCTTCCGCTCCATAAAACAGCAGCATGTGACAAATAGTGTGGGAACTACCACAGTGGACTCTGCAGCTGATTGTCGGCTTGGGTGAGGGGCAGAACATGGAGAGTATCTCATCTAGTCAGTCTTAAATCCAGAGAGAAAAAATTATTCTTTGGTTGCGAGTTGAACTTTTTGTCATTGGAAAAAATATGCAGATGAAAGCTGATGTTCAGTCTAGCACTGAAAGAAACACACATTATAAATTGCAGGTTTTTAATCTGAAGTTAATGTTCCTACTTAGGCATCATTGTCCATATAACATTTATAACATCCGCTGTTACCATGGTATTGATATCTTCCAAATGGTGTTAATAAATGATGTTAGTAAACTTTATCCTATTGAAGAAAGAGCTTGACCGCTTCTAATTTTTTGTTAGGTGACATATTTGTCATCTGCTTTTTGAGCAATGCATGAATGAACTATAGGGAAGCCGAATCAAGAGGAAGTGCATATTTAATTTTTGAAATGGTGAAACTGGTAGTGTAGTTCATTTTCTGTAGAAATTCTGCCTACCACAAACTTTAGCTTCCTCTGTTTGGAAAATGGGCTTTAATTAAACAAATCTCTTGTGAGGTTCATTGCTGAATAGAAAGCAAGCTTGGGCAGAGATTTGGCTCTGATTTTCTTTTTATGAGCCTACTTGCCTTGAGAAGGAAGCTGAGAATGTGATGTTTGCAGAAGCATTTAATTCTTTGCTCTGTCTTAGGTACATTGTGGTTCAAATATGCATGCATAAGAAGTTAAGTGTATTCAGTAATAGCACATAGTGAACACCACCTTACTCCTCTCACAATTTGATGTCACTAGATGCTCAGATAAGTAATTATGTATTTTTTTTAAATCTATCATTTCCTGAAAATTCCTGATTTCCACTGAAAAAAAGCCCAAGAAAAGAGCCGACCATGACTCAGCCTTTTTCTGTCTGGGATGGTAAGAAAGTTTTGGCACTGCCCTTTGCTCTGCAGTAATCAGCATGGAGCAGAGGCAAGGTAGAATTAATGGGCTCAGCAGCTGCTGTGGGTATAGCTAGTTACAGCGGTGTAGGGTGCAGCAGAGGTTATAAGAAGATACCCAACCCTGGAGAAGAAAATGAAGAATTTACTACTCCTGAAAACTTATTTGTCTGCTTATTTTGAGATGTGTATACTTTTCATTAAAGTCCTTGAAAAATTCATTAAATAGAGGAACACAAAGCTATGCAAGTTATGAAATTGAGCATACACAGCAGCTAATTGAAATTCCCTGTGTGTAATCCAACTTCAGCTCATGATTCACAGAATATAGTGCAGCAGTACCCCTATGTCCCTCCTTCATGAGTGGATATGAGTCGCTGTTAATAAATAAATATGCATCGGACTCTTTGGGCTACATCTGTTGCTTAGATGTGTGGATACAGAGCTTAGCTTTATTTTCTGTAACCAAGTTGGTTTTCAGAGAAAAATGTGAAAGTAAATGTGTTTACTGTGTAAATGTTGGCTGGAAGTCAAGAAGTTTCTTTTCTGAAGCTGGTCTTGCAATCTTCAGGGACTTTAGCTCAGTCTTTCTTAAAAAAAAAAGGAAAAAGACTCTGCTTTCTACTTTCCTGTTAAAGCCCCCCCCCAATTTTTTTATTCATCACCTTCTTGAATTTTACTTCCTCTGTTGAATTCTTTTGTATCTTTTTGGATATATGGCTACTTTTGACTGTGTATGAATATCTATTGGATGTTTTCATACCACTAGTTCCTTGTATGGTTTAGTTCTTCTTCCAACACAGAATTTCTTCACTGTTACAGGAAAGTGCATTTGTCTAGGGGCTTTTGCTTCTTGAAATAGCCATTGGATTTGTTTTGCTTTTTTTTTTTTTTCATTTTACTTAATTTTGTCTTACACTGGGGGCATTCTCCATTTTGCCGCTAGTTAATATTATTTTTTATTACTTGTTTTGGGAAGGCAGAATTCTGATACATAGTTGATAGGGGCATCAAAGCTTGACAAGATCCATGTTTCAAAAGCCTTAATTGCATTTGTATTGCTGCAGCATATACCCCAGCATGTTAAGGATATAAAAACGCCATTAATACCTTCAGGATCAAGCTGTTTACAGCCAGTGCTTTCAAAAGTAGTCAGGGATTGGGGTAGTCCAGTTAGACTCCATGGGAACAGCTTGACTTTCATTATTTCTTAGTAGGTACCAGAACTTTCTCAGAGCTGGATTTATTCTGGGTATCTCCTGACCTGGTGCTCTTTTGAAAGTCTTTGTCTTGGATGGGCGATTAGATTTAGGATGTTGCCTTAAGGTGAAACGTACAAACAGATTTAGAGGGGAGAAGTGGTTGTTACATAAATGTCCGTTCTTATGGAGATAAATAGAGCAGTAGCTTGCCGCCTCCCCAGCCATTACTTTTCGGTTGGCAGTTGTTCTGGAGGCCACACAAACACCACGCTTAGCTGATCTTGCACATTTCCTGCCATTTCCCCTCTAAGTTTAAGGTAGTGTCAGTCACTAAAAACATGAGCATCCTGAATAGTGGAGGACTTCCTAAAGGATCTGCAGGTGTTGCTTTCTGTATTGCTGAAATATGTAAAGACTAGGCATCTACAGCAGAGTCCTCAGCTGAAGAGTTTCTTGCACTATTTTGTCGGCAAAAGAGCTGGAAAATTGCCCTTTTCCATTTGGCTTAAGACAAAAATGCTCAGAAATGTTTTTGGAATTTTCAGATTAAAATCCCTCCTGCTCCCCAGCAGTGTATGCTTGTTTGCTCCTTCAGTTCTTCGTTATGCTAAGCTTTTAATATTTTTTTTAGGATAATATGTGTGTGAGTCTGTAGTGTAAAACTACATATGCGATATGACCAGGTTCATCATCGAGGCAGAGTAATAGAGAGTAAAGAGTCAGTGCTGAACACTTACTGGTAATAGCATGCAAATGATCCATTACTCTTTGTAAAACTTTTGGTATGATCTGATTATTAATATTCTGAATTGAATGCTAATTGCTAATATAATTTGCTGCATACGGTGCCTGGTCTTCTTTCAAAATCTGTCCTTTACTCAGTACTGCAGGTAAAAACATAGGCCTTTTCTGTATTTGACTTGCATATTCCAGCTCCAGTACAGAGTATTTTTTTCCATGCTGTAGAAGGATCATTTGAGATGCTTTTGCTGTTCTGTACTTTTCAGTAACATTGCAGAAAAAATTGTAGGATATGTTTGAATATCATTAGTGCACAATGGATGTAATTGGTGAATTAATAGTTCTACCACTTTGATTGTTTCAGGTGGAAAGGATACCATAACGTTCAGTGACCCAACCTTGCCTGTTATACAGCGGTCCAGGTCACCGTTGTTAGCGTTTACTGATAAGCCACAGAAAACTGAAGTACAAGGTGAGATTCTGGAACGTAAGGAACGTGATGAGAGCTGAGCACTCATTTCTTTCCAAATAAAAAGTAATAAATTTTCATGATGGGATAGCAGGAGGCAAAGTTTCAGTGGTCACAGAGATTGAATAAATCATCCACAAGTAAAACGGATAGATGGTCCCAGTACAAATAGCAAAGAAACAACTGAGAAATGACTGTTGAATAGATTGTACAGGGCTAGGGATCAGGTCTTATACCTCAAAGAATTTTCCTGCCAGATAACTTGATACTGTGAGAAGTTATTCATGCCATCTATGTTACAGTTAACTGCCTCCTGCTCTTTTTTGCTCAGTTAAAATGCACAGTAGGAAAGCAGTCTGTGGAACTCGCTTAGCACTTTCCTGCATTATAGCTGATATCTAGATGAAAGGCTTCCTGATTGCGCCCGGTAAATTGAAATACCCGACTCGTTTTCCCAGAGAAATTGACTGCTTTTTTTTTTATAGTCTTGCATGTGTTTTGTTAAAAATCCTTCCCCAATAGCAAGCTTTAACATCTCTCCAAAGTCAAGCTTAACTTTATTTGACAGTAGCGGAAGATAGTGTTTTGCCGATAACCTTGATTTTTTTTTTTCCCCTTAGTTTTTCATAATGGATGGGAGATGGATTATTATGCTTGCCTATCGGCATTTGGATAAGCTCTTTAATGGGCATAACATTTTGGTATGCCCAGATCTTACTCAGCTAACCATGAAGCATCATAAACAATTTATTTGTTAGTCCTGAAACTAAATAGATTGTGGCTTAATTTTGACTTTATTATCCATGTCATCATCTGATAAAACTTGACAGCCAGACTGATCGTTTTTTATAATCTTGATCAGCTGATATTTTTGCTAAAAATAAGAAGTGAAACTATAGTGAATAGTTCTCTGGTGAGTAATAATAACTCATAAATATTCATTTTTTGCGTGCTTAATCATTGATTTTTAATTAAATCTGCAGTTACTGAAAGTATTTACTTGGTGGCATTACGCTCTTTCCTTTACGTATTTGTCCTAGGTGAGGTTGGTATTACAGTTTTGATTAAAGCTGCCTGTCAAATCTCATCAGACCCTGTTTCTGTTGCTTTGTAATACTGCCAAACTTTAGCTCTCTGGGCTGAAGCTTTCCATGTTGTGTTTTCTACTTCAGCTGATTTTTTTTAATGTCAGCCAAATCACTTTTTTGTGTTAAATTCTGATGACCGCATGTGTTTTTTGGTTTTGGGGTTTTTTGTTTGTTTTGGTTTATTTAAAAAAAAAAAATCCAAGCATTTGCTATATGTATAATTGAAAGGAGTTTGAAATCTGGGGAAAAGGTTTCTGCCCTGAGAAAACAGGCTGGAGTTTCCACCCCATTCTAAACCATTCACTTTCAGATCTCATCTGCTAAAACCAACAAAAACCAAACCAACGATTCTGTTGAGCTTGCTTCATGCCACCAAAGCTGGTAAAACTCTGCATGTACCATTCCTTCAAGACAATGTAAACCTAGAGGGGAGAAAACCTGGAGCAGAGAGGACAGGAAGGCTGAGATCAGGACTCTCAAGTGGTGGGAGGACTAGAGTAGATGGGGATTGACAGAGTCGAAGGAAGTCTGAGTGAGGGGGGACTTGCATCTGGCTGAGCAGAGGTCAGAGCACAGGAGCGAGGGATCAAAATGCTGACAGTGAAAGCAAGGTGTGATAAAAAAGATTGAAAGGTGGATGGAAAATGGGCAGAGTGAGTGTAGGGACTGGATAAACAAAAGGATACAGGGTGGGAGCAGAGAGCTAGGCAGGGTAAGAGAAGAGTAGAATGAAACAACCTTGGAAAGGAAAAGGCAGACAAGGATTAGGCCTGTGGTAGTCATGAGGAGAATCTGCTCCCAGTAGGTCGTCACCCTCTTTCCCCCTCCCCATCCTATAACTGTAAGAGGGCCAAGATCAATCACAGAAATCCTGTCATTAAACTGGAGTAGGGTAAGAAATTACTGTTCTGCCTGCACAAACAGCTTGGGGTTTTTTGCTTGTGGCTCAGTATACCTGATAACCTGCAGTGAGAACTCAGACAAAACTCACCTCTGTGATAGTTTAAATAAACTGGGCCGACTTTTCAGTGACACAGATGAGCACACACATACTACCAGCTGTGCAGGGGATGCCACAGCTTCTAGCAGTAGGTGGAGCAATAATAACTTCTTCTGTTGCTCCAGATCCTTTTTCTGGAGCATGTTTGGGGCTGCCATCTTCCCTTTGAGCCCTGGAAAGGAAGCAGTGTGTTTCCAGCTGTAGAGCATGTCCCTGTGCTTGAAGTCACACAGCTCCTCTGCAGTCAGCAGCTATATGGGAGTGACACACCGAGTCACCTTTTGTGCCACTTTGCATAGAGAATGACTGTCTGTTGTTAAGTTTTAGGAACTTGGTGCATATTGCAATTTTTCATCTATACAGTGTACCTCCAAAATCTGGGGGAGCTTGGCAGCTGGGAAAAAGATAGGAATGTGTTCATCTGCCTTCATTTACCAAGCAAGTATGCCCTTGGTTTAAAAGTGTTCCAGAACTAAAACCAAAACCACTTTTGTTTTCCTATTAGTTGAATGTTCAATTGAGTGAAAACAGTTGATACGCAGAATAGCAATGAAATTCTTACATATCTTTTAAATACCTTTAAAGCCTAGGCCTGATATCATGTCGGTCAGCTATGGTCCTTTAAATAGTACCATTGATATTTGGTGCCTCTTTTGCCCAGGAAATATTTTTAGCTTTTGCACTAACATGCATTCTTTATCAGAACTTTCTATAATACATCAAATGTGCTCTAACTACATCTACAGATAATCAGAGGGCTTTTTTATCTAATCTGTCTGCTTACCCTGATCTCATCAAGGCCTGTTTTAGTCTGTACTTGTTATCATTGTTTCAGTTAAGCTGGATGGTAGAAATCTGTAGGATATACTGTGCAGTTCCTGTGTGAAAATGCGTAATGACATAGTACAATCATGAATTAAAGACTCTCGTGTGCCACCAAATCTCACTTAATCCAATGCCCAGGATGGATAGTGTCGTGGGATAGATTGTACTTGAGCATCACAGCTGCTAAGGAACAGCTATTCAGGTTCTTTTCCTCTTCATTGTTGAGTGCATTGTTCCTGCTGTATTGCCTCTGTGCTATTTCAAGCATTCCCTGAAGACGGAAGTACCGTTTTTCTATGAACTTTTCTCTGGTGTTCTAGTGCTTTGAAATAATTTGTCTTCAGAAAATTGCAGCAAGGTGATGGGATGGGATCGTGTTATCCCACTGGAGAGGGAAGAAACTGAGGCATGCAAAGAATAAGGTAGAGTCCCTGGTAATTTTGAGTGCCAATTTGAGGTACATAAGTTTTGGCTCTTTTTTGAGTATGTGTGTTCAGATGTGCAGTGCTGCAAATCAAACTCCTAGGTTTCCAGCTGAGTGCTCAGATAATGAGGATTAGATCCAGTGGGTGATCACCTTTTGAAAGCTAATTTATCCCTGCCTTTTCCACAGACTTAAATTCCAGCTCTTCAGAGTAGCATTCCTAGCTTCCTTAATGGTAGTAAGAGTGTCTGTTGCCTTCATGCCAACCCCTGTCTCAGTCACTCAGCAGCTCCCAAATTATAAATGAGGCGGGTCTGATAGAGACGGTAGGCTCCTGTATTGTGTGGCTCTGATCCCTCCCTGCAGCCAGGCTGCCCTGTGCAGTGCGTGAGGCAGAATTCCTGCGGGAGAAATAGAGTAAATGCTCATGTACGAAAAGGTAATGCGTATGCATGACAAGAGTCATTTTAAGCTGTCAATGCAGCCATACTTCTGGCATTTCCTAATTCTTCTTACCTGACTTCACAAGCTTATTTTCAGTGAGCCTTTTTGTCCTTAACTGAGATGAGGACAAATTCTCTCTCTTTCTCAAAGCTGTTTGTTTACACATTGATGTTTTCTTTATTCTGACACTTTGTTCAGTGTTTGCCTTTTGGTATAATGGTATATTTAAAATTCTTCCACTGCTGCTTTGTTTTATGCTGTTACCTGAATTAGAATAATCTTTTATGTTAGGAGAAATGTTGCAGGACCAATAATAAAACTTCATTATTGGATGAAAGCCTGTGAAAAGCTCCAAATAAATGGAGCTTGTGTTAACCCCCGAAAGTGGTAGTGATGTGGGGATTAATGTTAAGCTGTGCCACAAATTTCTGTAGCTGAGTGCCGTGCTCAGAGTTGACACTCCTTTGAAAAATTTGCCTGACCCTGCTGTTCTACAGTACGGTATCAACTATGGCTCTTTTAGACTTGTTGGTGTTAGGGAAGGACAGGCTCCGAAACAGGGCCACATCCAGCAAGAAACTTAGTGTTGATTGCTTATCATCTAAGAAATGGGCCTGGGATGGGATAGGGAACCACTCCTTGAAATTCCGTGCTGAGGTAAACATCTCTGGGGCCTGGCACTGGTGGTGACGGTCTTCAGGTCAGATACATAATAAATACCTGTGACTGACTAGAGCATCTCGCTGTTCCATTTCTCTTTCAGCAAAACAGAAGGCAGAACGTGATGAAACTTGTGCTGTTGCAAGTGAGTCCCTGGCTCCGGAGGGAACAAACTTAAATAACAGAAACCAAAATAAACATTTTTATCCTTCATTACCCCAGCTACCTTCCGAGGAAGAAGAAATAAACAAGCTCGGAAGTCAGATAATTAAACTGACAGAGCAGGCAGTTGCAGAACTGGAAGGGAAAAGAGCAGGTGCTTCCACAGGAGAGCAGAACACGGTGGTTGGAGCAGAGCTTAATGGTTCATCTGAGGGAGAGTTCCCACTTCCCAGCCCTGACCCATCTGACCCCACAGATCCCTCAAACTCAGAGAACGAACAAACAGCTGAAACTGAGGCCTTGAAGGACAATGACGAAACCTCAGAGAGCGATTGTGAAATCCCAAATGAAAGAGGGGATCAAAATAGCAGCACCGTGGATGTGGTGCGTACTGAGGACCCTGGAAGGCATGGAGGGCTCAGCGTTACAACTGCGCACACAAATAACAGCTTTGAGGAGTTCTCTGAATCTGAAAACAAGAAACCATCTGATCCTGCTTAAAACTGTGAATATTTGGATAACAGTTTGGCTTGAGGTACGAAATCCAGGCCCTCGAGCATCTCGCTGTAATCCTTTTGCAGTGTCTGTGCTGCTGCAAATATGATCAGTGAAACAGTGTGCTGTAGGATTGATTTTTACATTGAACTGTTACTACTTGTCTAATAAAGGTGTTTTTCTGTTAGTTTTGGCTACAGTGTACCAAAAATGTAAATTACCTAAGGGAAAGAATTAGTGATGAGGTTTAATCATGCTGGGTTTTTGTAATGATTTGAAGTTTCTACATAGATTGATGTCATTTACTTTAGTGTAGCAAAGAGACCAGTGATAACGATTTATCATGTTATCACAAGGCTTCTGTAATGTGTATGGTCCTAGTGCCGGACTGTATTTTAATGGTTAGAAGTGTCTTCCAAGGATGAAAAATTTGGAGTGGTAAATTGAGAAGCATCTTAAGGCTGCAAGCTTTTGCTTGTTTCTCAGACTATGTTCTATTTCTCTTTACATACAGTGACTGCAAGTACATCCTTAGAATAAAATCACTGCTCCCTTATAGGAAGTTTCTGAAAACCATCCCTGCGTGTATATAGTTCTCTCATTACAAACCTTTATATCTTCTTAACTGTACAAAATTTTTCCTTCCCTCTCTCAGCTCATCTCATGAAAATGCAGGGAGTTATTTCAGCAGATACGGAGAGCCCAGTTTAATGAAGCTCTGAAGGAAACATCATCAGAGAAGCCAGAATTCCTTCTGTGAGAAACGGCAATGCTGTTCCAAAGCAAGGAGAACAGCAAGAGGAGAACCGGTGATGCCCTGTCCACCTACGTGGCTCTCTCAGATACTGGAATTGCATTCCTCAGCTTACAGGAGCTGGAACAGCCCTCAGGCTGAGTAACAGGTGGTAGATTTCAGCCTACTCCATCTGTGCCCTCCTTTAAAAAAAGGCATCTGTGTCTTTTTATTTTCTTATGTTTTGGAATTAAGGATAACTCTTCGTTTCCTCCTCATTTCACCAGTCTGTGGTGTGGTAGAAGGTTTATTTGCATTGTTGCCGCTTTCTTAAACTTCTTCCCTTATTGATGTTTAGTCATAGGAAAACATTCCTATAATAACTGGGGAAAAGGGAGGCTGCTGTGTCATTCCCTAGCTCGCTCCTGATGCTGGAGCTGTGCCACTCTGCTCCTAGGAAGGCAGCAACAAGGGAATACTTAACGTTGAAGTTAGCAGCTGTTGGAGAAGGGGAGGCACGTCCTTCCTCTCCTGTTTGTAGCATAAGGAATAGTCTCTGCAGCTGTGGAGCTTCTATGGGCCAGCAGCCGTCAAGGCAATTTTTCTGCTGGCTTGGGACCTAATTGTCTGTAAATGTTCATTTCTCACTCCTAGAACTTGAAACCAATCAGAGAGAATTAAACCAAATTTAATAAAATACTACTAATAAAAAGGAAAATCCCTCCCAGATTGAGTCCTCCTTTGACAAATAACTGCCAGCTGCAAATTTTTACAGCCCACTTGTCAGCTACTGAATAAACAGAGTTTATATTAGCAATACTGACAAACTCTTCTGTATACGGAAGATGAGCTAGCAGGTGCTGCCATAATCAAGGTGTCAGAGTCCATGAACAGTTTGTATTCAGCAGAAGAAAGGCTGTATGTAAATTATTACATATAAATATAAGGAACGATGGTGGGAAGGTGAAAACTGTGGCTTGTATCTGTTCTCATGTGTTTTCCCTAGCAGGTGTGTTCATGTAACCCTTTCGGTGTCTGTCTGCAGGCAATAAACCCATACTCACAGTGCTCCTCAAATATGTTTCCTTTCTCTTTAAAGGTAATTTGACATTGCAGCATCTCACTGATATTAAGCAGCAGCCCCTAGGAACAAAAATCACCTGTATATTTAAGCGTATTGGGGACATGAAGCAGTAAAAAGTTTTTCTTTCATTATCTTGATCATCATTTAACTTCCTTATCACCTGAAAAACCAAGAAGAGTTTAAGTATTTGAAAGATTGTTATGCTGTTCCCATTAATTGTAACTGACTACATTATTGACTCGTTTATATGACAGTACTGACAAGTCAGAAGAGAAATAGCGGCAGAAACTGAAATCTCCAGGAGACTGTGGCAGGATTTTTTCCTGTAATGCTTGAATGTCACATGAAGTAGCATTTTATTCAAGATGTATTCTTTTCCATCTTTCACAGACTAATCCTGCGCAGAGCTAAATATCAGTGCAGTCAGAACTGAAGCAAGTGAATAAGGTCAAGATTTCAGGTAGCTGAGCTCAGAAATGTTGAGGGTGTTATATTGTTTCCCTGTCCTGTGCCTTTCCTGACCCACAGTTGTGTGAGTTAGCATTTTGCTCCTGGTCCCTTAACAGCCAGTTAATGCTATTAATTAATGAAGAGCTTGGTGCAAAAATTCGAGCAGGTAGAAGCAGTGCTGGACCAACAGCTTTTTAGTGCCTCATTCGTTGATTCTTTTTAGTATGGTTTTTCTGTGAGAACATAGTGATGCACAACCCAACAATTAGGGCATCTTGGTAATTATCCTCACACCATTCTCCCTTTTAGATGCCATTTTTGTATCTTTGAAATCATTACATTCCAGTGAGATATCTAGATATCTGGAAACCTCATTTTTAGTGCTATATCACTGCTGCAATACTGTCCCTCTCCTTTCTGCCCTAGTGAATGTGTATTCTACCTACATTTTTAGCGTTCTCCCAGGAACACAAGACTTCAAAACCAGGAGACTTGTAAAAGTAAGGCATCTTTGCTGCGTTATGTGATAACTAATTGAATATTCTTGTCAGTATCTTCCTTGGATATTGCTTTAATTGATATTGTTGTGCTATTAGAATGATGATTTTTTTCCCCAGTAAATTAATTAGTGTTTTGTTGTGGAATCAACACTACTTTAGGTTTTTCAGGGTGAGGGGGTGGGGGTGGGGGGTTTGATGGCTTTTTTTTCCCCAGACTTGTGTTCCCTTTTTCTAGGACTTCAGAAATGCAGAAATTGCATCCAGATATGTAAGCCTTTTTGGTATTGGGCTCTGGGGAAGCAAACTGGGAAGGGAATGTTGTGGTAGGGGTATGGAGAAGATGCATTTCGCAAACTGATTTTAAGGAGGTTGTCTCACCTAAAAGTGAATTCATGCATGATCTGTGAGAAGGATTTCATTTGAAAGTACGATGTGGTTATTTGAAAAACAATGTTCACTGAATTGGTAAAATAAGTGTGGAAAATGACAGGCTAAGAAGCATCTTTTAGAATGCTGCTTCTTTTTCTAAGTGAGACTATTTTTAAGCATATGGGAATTTGTATAATAAAGACAGTGGAATTTCTTTAATCCATATGAGCTCAGGAATGTATTTCAAAATCTTAACTGAGATTAAGTTGAAAGTCTGCTACATTTCTAAAAGATAGGATTTTGTTTACCAGCTTCTGTTTTGTAGTTTGACTTGCTAAATTATGCAGTTTAATTTATTTGCAGACCTCTCTTTTGTTGCTGCCTGGATTAACTGCACAATATGGTTCAACTATATTAATACATTTTGTCATCTTTAATAAAAACACTTCCTGATACGCTTGCTGTACCTGCCTGTTTCCTTTTCTCTTCTCAGTATCAGATGAATGATAGTCATGAGGTACTGTTTTAGTATTTTCAGTGAGTTGTGTTAAATTTAAAAAGTAAAGCTTTACTGAGTGAGAGTTTTAAGTCTGAAAATTATCTGACTTAAATCTTTTCACTGTCACTTCTCCCAGTCTAAATTGACTGATTTACTTCCTACATTTTTGTATGAAGACACACACTCAGGGGTTTTTGCTTTGAAAATAATATTTATCTCTGATCTGGTAACTTTATCATAATTGTCTAAGCAGCATTAAAACTTCTGTATACAACTTAGTTACTAACAGGCACAAACTAGAGGCTTCAGGGAATTTTTGCTGGGAGTGATGGTAAACTGGAGTATTTCTTTTAAGCCTGCTTTCAGATGTAAATAGTGTGACTTAGCTATAGCCATGTGGACAATTTAAAATAGTTAAGAAGCCTATATACGTTTGACAATAAAACCTGAAAATGCAAGTAGAATAACGTAATGGGTCTAAGTTTAAAACAGAAATGTCTGTACTTTCCTGTATTTTTAGGGGAAGCCCATTATCCAGGTCTTGCAACACAACACCCAACACTGTTGAAAGCATAGAGGTCTTTTTGCCTTTCAGATTTGAAGCTAAATAAAGGATAGTGGCTAATGAGAGGCAATTTCTTAATAACTTTTTTTCCCTTTGGTATCTAACTTACGATCCCTTAGGAGCCCCTTACAGTGCACAGACTCTTTACAGACTACTGACAGTATCTGTTAGCACTCATACTTAAATGCATTCAACTCCCAAACTGCATAAAAGGGAATCTCTTCAAGAAAATACATCACAGTGTTGAGTTGATGCTGGTTTTATTGATGGGCTTACAGAAAGGAGGCTCTACAAAGTGACACGCATTTCTCAGAGGAGCAAGCGAATGGCAATGGGAATCCTTTAGCCGTGTATCTCAGTGGCCAGTGGCGCAGCCTAAGGTACTTTGTGCTGCCCAGGCCGTAGCTGGCTCGTTGGTCTTCGCTTGAGCCTGGTTCTACGTGCGTTTGTGGAGCCCTCTCTTCTTCTTCTCTGTAACCTCAGACAGTTTCTCTTCCCACAAGTTCTTGTTGCATATCCCAATCACGCAGCAAGCCAGACGTTTCCCAGCATTTCCATTTTCCAAACTGGCCTTATTGTTGCCCTTGCCCATGTCGTCTTCCTGCTCGTGGATCACAACGGATCTGCCCATGACGGAATACGGACCAAACATAGTGGCAAGGAGATTTGTTTTGTATTTTCTGATTTTGCCATCTTTAGGAGAAAAGTTGCCGAAATCCCCGGGGTGACGGGGGTGATTCACACTGAAAGGGTTATAGTGTCCTCCTGTAGAATCACAGCCGTTGCTGAGATCCCCAAGCTCGTGG